TACTATATATAGTATAATGGGCACCAAAACCCTCTTTTACTTATGAAGGCACCCCCCCCCAACCAAAAAAAAAAAAAAAATACAGGGGTTTAGGGGGCACGATGGGCTGGGCTTCAGCGTTTTAGCCTAGACTTAGGGCCAATTCGGGTTTTGGGTTTAGAGGAGTTTGGGGGTTAACGTGTTTCGTTTTTTTTTTTTAGGTTTTGGGGTGTGGCGAATCTCTTTGACATAGCGGATCGGCTTTCCCGACTCAGGATTTTGGCATGTTTCGGGGGTTCTTATGGCAATATTGACCGGTTCATTCTTATAGTAATACTATACAGGGGCCCACAGTTCTATTCTATTTATTAACTCTAAATCCTTATAGAACCCTTAAACTAGCCAGTACACTAACCCTTTAAAGGAACCTCATTCTAATTATTCCTAAACCCTAAACCCTAAACCCTAAACCCTAAACCCTAAGCCCTAAACTTAAGGCCCCTACATTACCGAGGATCCTGAGATTGCACCGAACCGGAGGTCGAGGGCCTCGGGCCCGGTGAGCTTTAAGCGCCTGCCTCAACCATAAGAGCTTTATGACGATGGGTTTAGGGTTTAGGGTTTAGGGTTTAGGGTTCAGGGTTTAGGGTTTAGGGTTTAGGGTCCATGTGCCCAAATAGTATATGTAGATATATATATATATACACACACATATACTTTGGCATTAACGTAGTCCCTATTTGGGTACTTTGGGGCCAGTGTATATACTATAGGAGCACATGGACCCTTAGGGTAAAGGCACTGTAGTGGCTTTCTCGAAGCAGGCATTTGAAGACGGTCTTGAAAATAGTTTAGGGTTTAGGGTCTGTCTTCTGTAACGGTGTTGAAAATACCAGTGCTTTAACTCAGAATGCGCGAGTCAGAAAGTGCTAGACGGGATTGCAAATTCAAGAGGTTGCAAAATGAGGCTAATATCCTGGTCCGGCTCAGTATTCCCTTCTGGTCTTTATTGTCATGATACTGCTTTAACCCCAAACCTAGTTCTAACTGCGCAGGCCCCTTTACTACACCCTTAAAGCAACCCTTGTAGAACCCGTTTAATTAGTGGAAGCCTAAACGGACCGGAAGGAGACCGAGTCTAATTTTTGGGGTCCGTATATTACACCCTGACAGGACCCTGAACCCTAAACTCCAAACCCTAAACTCTAAACCCTAACTAAACCCTAAACTCTAAACTCTAAACCCGCCACCCTAAACTCTAAACCCTAAACCCTAACCCCTAAACCCTAAACCCTAAACCCTAAACTAAGCACTAACCCGGCACTCACAGGAACCAGGCTCGCCTTGCCATCTCCGGGATGCGCCGCTGAGATTTTATCGGCTCTGGGTTCAGAAGCCTTCAACTTAGGGTTTAGGGTCTAGGATTTTTTAGGGTTTAGGGACTTGGGAACCCCAAAAGGACATAAGATGACATAAGCATAAGCATTTTATAGGGATATATATATTTATATATGGGGGTTTCCGAAAATAGGGGACCCTAATATAGTACCCTAAATAATAGGATCCCTATTGTCAGGACCCCAAAATAAGGTACCCTAATTTTCTGAAACTCCCATATATCCCTACCAATATTGGGCTTCATTATAACGGGGCTTATGGGGATATCCCTATCCTGATTCTTGCTTATGTGCGTTTTTGAGGCCCTATCAACCCCAAGGCCCTAAGCACCTATAGTTTGGGGGTTAAGGTTTAGGGTTTAGGGTTTAGGGTTTAGGGTTTAGGGTTTAGGGTTTAGGGTTTAGGGTTTAGGGTTTAGGGTTTAGGGTTTAGGGTTTAGGGTTTAGGCCCTATGGAGCCTTTTTTAGACCCTTGAATCCCCCAAAACCCAAAAACAAGGCAACAAGAGATGTGTCTTTCGTCATTGTGCGGAGTAAGGCCGAGTCATGGTTAAGGTTCAGGGTCTAAGGGGGTTAGAGGGATAGAGGGCTCCCAGGAGCAAGAAAAGAACTGTCATTACAGGTGCCTGCATAACTCGAGTAGGGCTTCTTAAAAAAGGCTCTTCGGGTTCTTATCTAAAGGGGTTCTATAAGGGTTACTACAGAGGCTTTCAATACTTTCCACTACTTCTCCAGTACGTAGGCAAGCCCTCAGCTTGCGGGTGTCTCGTTCCGTGGCTCACATGGTTTAGTGCCGAACCCTCAAACCCCCAATGATAATCATAAGAATACGAATGATGAGACTATTGGCACTAAACATGACAGTCACAGTCTAAGAACGATAACAGTAATCATCATAATGCTAGCAGTCATACTGAAAATGTTTTGAACAGGAACTTTCTAGGCCATTTTCAGGTGGGTAGTTTCCTTTATAGGAGCCTTATAGAAGGTCTATAAACCTTGTGGAAGCCTTATAGAAGCCCTACATACCCTAAACTCCCCACCTGTAGTTTCTTTTGTTTCAAGCCCCCCAAAAAAGCCGAGGCTTGTTGTGGCACCGATTCTCGGTCGCAGGGCTGCCTGTCCCGGACACAGACATCCTCAGCGAAGCCGTGCAGCGTCTGGAGGAGAGCTACAGAGCCGCGTCCGCACATCAACGATCCCTGGACCCCTAAACCCCCTAAACCCCTAAACCCTGAACCCTTAAGCCTAGGTTTTAGGGTTTAGGGTTTAGGATTTCAGATTTAGGGTTTAGGGTTTAGGGTTTAGGGTTTAGAGGGTTCCAGATTCGACTTATACGAGAATATACGAAGCCCTCTCCTAAGTACTAAGGCCCTCATCTTTACGACAACCTTCGGCGTTCAGGTTTCCTCTGTCTCGGATCCCCCAGGTTCTTGATCTTGACTCCGAGGATCGTCACGGTACCCCTACGTTAGATAGGGTTTTAGGGTTTAGGGTTTAGGGTTTAGAGTACATGGCCCCGAGTGCGATGTAATAGGTACTGCGGGTCCTATAGAGGGAGTAGCTGTGGGATTCTGTGCCTTCCTACGCCAGGCTTGTTGTTCGAGTTAGCTGATGCAGGCTCGGCAGAACGAGGCCTTAGGCCTCAGGCCTTGGAAGCTTTAGTAAGGTATTAGCTTGCATGCTTTTTCCCGATTCAGCTCGATCCGAGAAGATGGAATGCCATGGCGATTTCTGCCGAAATGATCATCTTGCTCTGCATCACTGCTTTACCGGTCACCCTAAACCCTAAACCCCTAAATGCACCACGGGGGCAATCCGTGATTGGCAGGTATCCACTAAATCCTAAGTCCCGACCCTCAGCCCTAAGCCGCTCCCCAAACCCTCAAACCCAAACGCGCCTTAGACCCTAAACCCCCGTGCCCTGAACCCCAATTCACCTTGTTTCTTCATGTGTTCCAAGACCCAGAGTCAAGGAAGCAGAGCTTCGCACTATACTGAGTAGATGAGTAGCTAACCTCTGGCTTTTTTGGGTACTGCTATAGAACCCCCAACTATTTCCAAAGGTCCACCTTCAGTTCCCCTACGATACTGGGCAGGTAAGACTACCTTTACCACATCCCGAAACGAGGCCCCCTTGAGCCTGACCTGCCACTGAAGGTGATGCTGTGGCGACGCAGGGCTGTAAGAAGACAAACACCCCGGCACAGTGATGTGCACACGAATTACGTGGTTTTTTCAGTTCGTTTCAACAAGCATCGCTTTTGCGGCTGCTGCCATGACTTTATTGGTTGTTCTGATAATAGCGTGGCGCCTGCACCGACCGACATGCTGGAGACAAAAAGTGCAGTTGCCTTGAAGGAAGCCCATATAGTACTTTGAAAACTTCGGAAGCTGACCACTCCCTCATTCGCTCCCTCTGTCTCTGTCTCTGTCTCTGTCTCTGTCTCTGTCTCTGTCTCTGTCTCTGTCTCTGTCTCTATCTCTCTCTCTCTCTCTCTCTTCCTCTCGTTAAACAAATAGTAATAAATACGCACATATATATATATACACATGTGCACACAGAAGCACATGGGTCAATGTAGGTTCACACATACATACACAGCCAGAAGAAGAAACATGTACGTAGGTCTGTCTGTCTTCCTGGCTGTCGGTCGGTCTGTCTGTTTGTCGGTCTGCCCGTCGGTTTGTCTTTGTGGCTGGCTAGCTGGCTGTACGTAAATGTATCAGGATGACTGAATGTATATTTATATGTATGCAGTTTTTGTATATGTGTATGCTTGCAGGTTTTGTGCATATGTACACATGTACCAACATGACGTATGTCTGTCTGTCTGTCTGTCTGTCTGTCTGTCTGTATGTATGTATCTATGTATCTATGTATGCATGTCTTTATCTATGCAGATGTGCATGATTACGCATGTGTGCTGTGGTTGTTAGCACTGAGTGCAGTATTGCTGGAAGTGCCGTGATTCTGCTACATTTAAAAAATCTCAAGCATCTTGTCTTAGAGGGGTTCATGGCCTTTTTGCGGGAGCTCCTGAGAGGATTAGCGGCGGAGCTGGTTCGGCTGGGGATATCTTTGTTTGGCGAAAAGCCATTGACGTGTCCTGAGGGCCCGGACCCGTTTCATCTTGCTGATAAGAGTACTTATTGGGAGGCAGAGGCAAGATCGTGCCGTGAGGATCTTCGGGGATTCGTGCGCTGCGAGGCCTTGCTTGAGACCTGCCAAGACCAACTTCGCTTTATCACTGCTTTGGTTTTCCTGGGAATAGCATTGGGGTTGTTGGCGGGCGTGATCGTGGGCAGCTGGGTCCGTGCTTTCTTTGTGACCAAGGGAGAGGTAGCCACACAGATTGCGATCCAAAAATCCCCCTTTGAGAGCCAACCCCGGAAAATCGAGGAGGCGATAGAGACAGACAAGGATGAACTGGCTTCCGCTAGAGCGCGTGCTCGTATGCTACGTGGATGACCCGGCCCTTTACCATGAGAGGGTCATACTTCGGTGTTACGGTGGCGACCGAGCGCTTGTAGTGACACCGGACAGGGAGATTTTCAGTACGGAGCTGGTTGTAGGAGATACCTATTCGGACGTAAAAAGGATATCCTCAACTAGATTGCCAGGGGGTCTCACCGAGAATGACACGTACATGGCAAAGCACTCTGGAGAGGGAAACTTCCGTCGGGAGGAGCTTCTGCAGATGGTTCAGGACGCGGAATCTCCGCCAGGACCCAGGCGGTGCATCGCAGGAAAGCTTGGCGATGATGGGATGCGCCACCCCGCTCCGATTGCGGGTGGTGGGCCGAAGGGCACCACCTCACAGGATGCACCGGGGGTGTGGCTGGTGGTTTCAGCTCCTCGGGCCAGGGTGTGGGCGAGCAGGTCGTCCCCCCAGAGGGCGTGATGTCACAGAAGGTCGGCGGGGCCACATACAAGCTGTATTCCAGGATGGGTAGCGTGTGGCTGGCGCAAGGAGCGAGTGCGGAAGAAGCTCCAGCACTAGGTGCCAGCTTGAGGGTGAGATCTGAGGGCGAAGCCGAGGATCAACCAAAGGATGTGCGGGTTCTCCAGGTGCTTTTCGACTCTGCAGAGGAGAGATGGAGAATATTAGGGGAAGCATTGGTGGAGTACGAGGAGGTGGACTTCGAAGACTTCCCTTTGCAAGGGCCCCGCACATTGCTGAGGGACACCCGCCAGTTGCGGCGCATGGGCATGGACTTTGTACAACATCATGAGTCTTGGATCCGCAAGTCTGGTGTGCGCTCCTCCGACAGATCAGTTCATGAGCATGCTTCTTTGTGCCGAGCCCTCAACTACTTAGCCTGTTACGATCAGCTGAACATCCCCTCGTTGGCAGGAGCAGAGTGTTTGAATAGGAGGAGGTCGTTGATAGAGATGGCGCATCAAGGGCGACCCGAAGCACCATCCTACGAGTGCGCCGAGGACGTATTGGGCATCAAAGAGACGGCGGACGGCTCGGTGATTGACCCTGGCTTGGTGCAGCACGCGGCAAAGCGACAGGCAGCCAAGGCCGAGATTTTAAAACAAACACGTTTGGCTGCAGAAGAGAAGCGGCACCTCCATCGGAAAGGTGATGATGATCCTGACAAGCCTCCAAAGGGTGGGGGAAGGGGCGGCAAGAACCAGAATCAGGGCGCCCCCTAACCGGCGGGGGTGTCTCCAGCCAGTTGGTGCGAGGTTGGAGGCAACAAGTGTTAGCACCGATCATTTTTCCCACGAGCCTCGGCAGCGTTGGGGTGATGTTTTCCCGATACCTCTTCCTGTGGATGGCGGATTTTGCGGCAGTGAAGCGTCTCTAGCATCGCGACGCCCCAGGCAACGAGTGCACAAGAGGAGGACTCTTGTGGAACGTGCCCGGGGCACGGCTTGGGCGCTGAACGTGCTGGCAGGGTATGAAGATTCTTCATCGTGGCCGCAGGCTCCTTTGAATCGAGCTCAGGCGGCAGTGAATTCAAGGATTTTGGCGGCGCATAGAGCAAGGCCGCCTCCAGTTGTGCAACAATCACCTCAGGCAGCGCTTAGGCAGCTGCTGAGTCGCAAGGCTGGGTCTGGGTATGATCTGGATCAGCCGGGGTGTCTTGCTAGTTACGATCGCGCCAGGCTTTCGCTTCCCAAAGATCAAAATGAACCCGTTCTTTTGGAGGAGATTTTGCCGGTGCGGGAGAGGGAAATGCTTCAGAACTTTGAGGCATTGTTGGTCAAGGATTGAGCTTGATCAGGACATGTTTGTGGCGCAGGAGGATGTCAAGGACTTCTTTTATCGACTGCGCATTGACCGTCGTTTGGGGGAGTATTTTGCGCTACCCAAAATTGACATGGAGCTACTGCGCAGGGAGTTGGGCTTCATGCCGGACAGTTTCAGTGGAATGGATTCCGAGGCCGATGTGCATCCGTACTTGAGGGTGCTTCCTATGGGATTCTCGTGGGCATTTCACTTGGCACATCAAGCTCATGTCGAACTGGCATCGCGCACTTTACCAAAGTCCCTGCAGGTGCGAGATCGACGAGCCGCTCCTGTTATGGGAACGGGGCCAGGAAGGTGCGAATCGGCCATGCTCGTATATGCGGACAATGCGAACCATCTGGGGGTTTCGCGTGACCAGGTGAACCTCGAGCAACAAGAGATGCGTGATGCACTACATGGTCACGGGCTCGAAACTCATGACGTGCAAGAGGGCAGCAGCCTTTGTGAAAGTTTGGGGGTTCGTGTTGACGGCTTGGGAGGAAGTGTTCGAGTCACCGCAGCACGTGATCATCGGCTCGATCGTGCTTTACAGGCCTGCATTGCGAGGCCGGCCATGACGGGAGAGGAGTTGGAGATGATAGTTGGTCACATCACCATACGGGGACTTCTTCACAGAGGGCTTTTGAGTGTTCTCAGGTATTGCTACATCTTCATCCGCGAGTCCTACCATACAAGGCAGGCTACTAAGGCAGGCTCTGTGGCGCTCAGTTGCACGCGAACTTGAGGTGTTCAGATGCCTGATGCCGCTAGGTGTTGCCAACCTTCGGGCCCCGTGGTGTCCTGACATATACTGCACAGATGCCAGCCTCAGTGGTTACGCAGTGTACAGCAGGGAGCTCTCGGTAGACAAGGTTCGGGAGATTGGGCAAGAAGATGAAAGATGGCGATTTTATCGCGGCCCGGTTGTCGCTCCACGCGTGGCAGCCTTGGGGGATGAACTTGAGGACCCTCTGACGGTCAAGCCCGAGATTGAAGGGGAGCTATTCGGTGATTGGGAAATTGATGAAACTTTTCCTGAGGTGCCCAAGTCAGTGCTCGACGGCGATGCGTGGCACAAGATGTCGAATGCGCAGATACATTACAAGGAGCCGATTCATGTTCTTGAAGGTCGTAGCATTCTCGGTGCAGTCAAACACGCATGCAGAGACAGTCGCAAACATGGAAGCCGGATGCTTGTGTTGAATGACAACATGGGTGTGGTGTTGGCTACTCGAAAGGGCCGATGTGCTACTTACCCATTGCTTCGCATTCTGCGTCGAGTCGCAGCCCACAGTCTAGGATGCGGGGTGCGAGTTTACGCTAGATGGGTCGCATCCGAGTTGAATGTCGCAGACCGAGCCAGCCGTGAGTGGGAAACCGGGCGGCGTGAAGGTGAAGGCAAAGCGGCGGGTGGCGGTTTTCAGCAAAGAGGAAGCCGAGAAAGCCAATCGTCGCTGTCGGAGCCCGCCCTTGGGCGAGGTGCTGGAGCGGAGGAAAAGAAGCAGGTCCCCGTCACCGTCACCTCAAAAAGTGCGGGCCGCACCTTTGGACTCGGGGCTACGCAAGCTGGTGAAGTCAGCGGCGGTCAAGCGGAGGAGAGCTCGGGAGCGTCAGAAGCGTTTCAGCCCAAAGCTTCGGGCGACCAAAGGACAGCGTTCTCTTTTGGAGACCCACAGCGTGACGACAGGGACCCAGAAGGACTACGTCAACAAGCTGGACAAGTTTTGGGACTTCGTCCAGTTTTACGAGCTTCCCGTGAAACAGGAGAAAGAGCTCGACGCAGCCTTGTGCGACTACGCAGACCACTTGTACCTGAGTGGCGAAAGTTGCAGCTACGGCCAGAAGTTGCAAGCGGCGCTCGAGTACGTTCGCCCAGAGACTGCGCGGGAGGGCAGTCTCAGACTGCCCCGCTTCCGGAGAGCGCTGAAAGGATGGCGCCGCCTGGCACCTCCGCAAACGCGGTTGCCAATGGTGGAATTCATCAAGAGCTCGATCTCTGGAGTCATGTTGGCGGCAGGCCGTCGGAGCATGGCCTTGTTCAACGAACTGACTTTCTCCACCTACTCCAGGCCGGGAGAAATCTTGAAGCTAAAGGCGGCGGACTTTGTCGAGAGGAACCCGAAATTCGCTGCCTACCCGTACTCTGTGCTGGTTTTGGCCCCTGTCGAACGGGGGGAGTCCAGCAAAGCAGGGGTTTTCGACGAGGTGCTCATCCTGGACGACCAGCGTGTCCCGTGGATGGAGTCAGTGATGAAGACACACGTGCAGGAGAGGTTCCGGGAGAAGGGGCCCGAGGCGAGCATGTGGAGTTTCAATGCCAAGCAATACCTCCAGGTCTGGCGAGATGCGGTGACTGTTCTTGGAGTGGAGGACCTCGCGAAGAGCCCGTACCAGAACCGGCACGGGGGAGCCAGCCGAGACAGTTTGCTAAAGCTGCGAAGCGTGGCAAGCATCCAAAGGAGGGGGCGTTGGGCTGTGGACTCAAGTGCGCGGATCTACGACAAGCCGGGCAGGCTCCAGCAGTGCGTGAACAAGCGCAGTGGGCTTTGGCTGAGCTTTGGAGAGAATGTCCGCCGAAGTTTTGCAGAGCTGCACCAGAGTGGTACTTGCCAACTTCCAGCTCGAGCAAGGCAGAAGTTCAGGGAGGTCTTCAAGGAAAAACCTTACTGAGCTTGTTTGGCGGCGCAGGACGCTGCGCTAGAGCAGTAGCGGAAGGTGGGGGAGCGTCGGCTGTGATTGACATTGCAGCTTCGCCTCACAACGATTTGGCAAGGCCTCGTCTTTGGCGAGATCTGCTTCAGAACGTGCAGTGTTTTGACTTAGTTGGCATTGACCTCCCTTGCAACACCTGGTCTAGAGCCAGGCGAGGCCCCTGGTGGTCACGAATGCCGAAAGCCTTACGAGGATCTGATCCTCACACCATCATGGGCCTTCCGCGGCTTTCAGCCGCTGACAAGAAAAAAGTGCGTGTAGCAAATTCCATGCTAGAATGGACAGTCAAGCTCATCAAGAAGTGTCTGCAGCTGAACATCGCGGGTTACCTTGAAAACCCGTTGTCGTCAAGAGTGTGGAAAACATCTGCCATCAAAGCTTTGCTGCAGGAGAAAAACGTCCAGTTTGTGAAGGCAGACTTCTGCATGTACGACATGCCCTGGAAGAAGCCGACAGGCCTGCTCGTCTTTAACAGCCCTGAGGTCAAGCTGAAAAGG